ACCTTGGCCACTTTAAAACTTTGGATTTCAGCTCCCAGAATTCCTCAGCCAGCAGCTGGCTGAGGAACTTTGGGAGTTGAAGTCCACAAGTCTTAAATTGGCCAAGGTTGGAGACCCCTGACTTAGATGACCCTTCTGGTCTCTTCCAACTCTATCATTCATGGCTGGCTGAGGAACTCTGGGAGTTGAAGTCCACAAGTGTTAAAGTGGCCAAGGTTGGAGACCCCTGACTTAGATGACCCTTCTGGTCTCTTCCAACTCTATCATTCATGGCTCGCTGAGGAACTCTGGGAGTTGAAGTCCACAAGTCTTAAAGTGGCCAAGGTTGGAGATCCCCTAGTCTAAAACAGCACTAATCTACAACTTGACAGGTTAGCATTCTCCTAGAGAAAGCTATTACATAAAAACTCCCAACCCCATTAAAGTGGAGGAATTTGCAAGTGTGGGAAAATCCAACTTTTCTGACAGTATAAAAATCTTCATTTAGAAAAAAAAAGAAAAAAGAACAAGGAGAGCAAAAGGCCTCAAAATAGTAAATTAAAGATAAAATAGGTTTCTTCCGTAAATGACGGGGAGAAAGGCTGCCCTGGAGGGGGAGAAGAAATGAAAATGGGAGAAGGGAAATTGGTAAGAAAAGGGAAGGTGTCGGAGAACAGTAAGTCAACAATGGTTGACCGTGGAACCACTAACTTCTTCAGAAGGTTCTTGGAAACAGAGCAGATCCCTTCCTGCCAGGCTCAGGACCAGTGAGCTAAAATGCCTCTCAAATGACAAAGTGCTCATGAAAATTAGGATCAGATCCTGTTTAAGGGCTGGTGCTGAAACCGAGTCCAAGCAGGGATCCTTGGGGAAAGCAACGGATAAGATCCGTTGCTGATAGAACCCGTTTCCTGCTGCATCCTGCGCTGCGTCCCTTTTCTTGAAGCCTCATGGGGGAATGTCACCAGAAGGCGTCGAGGACCAGAGAGTCTGGCTTGTCTGCTCAAAGCAAAGAATGCACCCTCCAAATGGAGATTTTGCAGGCGCAACTAGAAACCCTGATTCAACAGAGACGCTACGCACAAATGGGTGATCCACCAGAACCTTCCGCCTCCAACCAAGATTGCCCTCCTATTTCAATACACCTTCCCTTCTTGGACGCCACCTGAAAAAGTGATTGCAAAGAAGGGAATGGATGCAGTCAACCTTGGGCGGGGTTCCTTCTTGGCGAAAATAATAATAATAGTGACACTGATGATGGGCTTGGAAGGGCCAGCCAAGCTCTGTCCTCTGGCTGTTAGAAAAACAGAAGTGGAGGAGGAGGAAATGGCTTCTTCCAGCTTGTGAGGATGGAACCCTGGAGTCCCTGTAAAAGCCAAAAGCCAGAGCAAGATCTTGCAAGGAAAGAAAATCCACCTGCCTGCAAGGCAGAAGAACGGTGCTCCAACTGGGCGATGGATTTAAATCAGTGCCCTGACACGGCCTATCACTAGAGACAGATCTTTGCCTCCAGGGGCAACATTTGCCTAGGGCTGGGCGGGGGGCTGGTCCTCAGCAGAAAACTTTCAAAACTCAAACCAACCCCGAGACCCGCCAAGAGACAGGCTAAGGAAGGAGGAGAGGGTTTAAACCTCTACACAGCCCGGAAAAGGAGCAACTCCACATTTCCACAGCCTTTACACGGTGCCCCCAGCCCCTCCCCGGAGGACAAAATCTTAGGGCTACTATTGACTCCTCGACTCATTTTTTAAAAAAAAGAAAAGAAAAAGAGAGTACCTATTTTGGATATTTCCTTCTTCAGGTGGAAATCCCAGTGACGAGGAAATTTGAGAGACATCCCAGCCCTGGGTGTCAGGTTTGCCTCCACACAGGGGGCCTGTAAGGTGGGTCCTTTTTCCCTGCTCCAAATTGTGAGGCCGCGGAGAGAGGTGGTTCAACTGACGGCTGAGCTTCCTTGAGAGAAACAGAGTCTCGTTGGGTTTGCCAACAACTTCCGCCTACCCAGCGTGGGACCTTCTGCAACACACAAGATAGTTCTCTCTCTCTCTCGCACGCGCGCTCGCTCGCTTTCTTGTGGTGCAAAGTCAGCTCGCTCCCTTTCCAGGTGGTTCAGCCTCAGCCCATTTGACAGCCCAGAAGAACCTGGTCAGCCCTTTGTCCTTGGCAGGTCCTTCTCGGTTGCCTTTAGCTCCATGTTCTCCAGAGCGTTCCTCTGCCAAACCAGACGTGCCAGGCAAAGCACCCGCCCTGGGTGGCTGAACACATGGCTGCTGCTGCTGTCTCACCAGCATTGAGGAAGTGAGCCTTCTGTGGGCGAAGCTGGTGGACTAAAACCGGGGAGGGGAGTGAGGGAGTGAGGAAAGAACAGCTAGGAAGCTTTCGGGAGTGTTTCGTCTGCTCGATATCAGCCCACAAGGTTGGAAAATGACTAAAAGGCAGTGATGCACTTGGTCTAGGTCACGGGTGTCCAACCTTTCAGATTTGTGGGCTTGAACTCCCAGAAGTTCCTACCCAGCATGGTTGAAGTCTTACAAAGGTTGGAGAACCCTGACCTACGTCAAGTTGCCACCACCTCCATCTCTTGGTCTTATTAGGCCTTTAGGTAGAAGAACTGACAGCCTGGGCTGTAGAGCCTTCAATTTTACTGCAAGGCAACATAAGATCTTGGCATGATGCATTAGTCAAGAGTAGGGCAAAACTGGGAGGGCTGGCAGGCCCCTTAGAGCAGGGGTCCCCAACCTTGGCCACTTTTAAGACTTGTGGACTTCA